TAAATGAACTTTTGCATGATATTCTAATTTTCCGAGTTTCACCTGTATCTTCCAGTTCCGATTCCTCTCCGTTTCATTTACTCCCTGCTGGGGCTGTTCTATCAGTTGTCCGCTGCCTGCATGACTTAGAGAACCCTTACAAATAAATGAAATAAGCTTATTTATATTTTATGATCTCTTCTGCTCATCAATTCAGGGATTACTCCATCCGCCAATAAATTAAGCATATACGGAAAAGAGTCTCCCAAATATTAGGAAAACAGACAGTAAGAAACCACAAAATAGTATATTTTATTATGCTTTGTATCAAAAATGTAAAATGGAGCTTGTCTTCATATACAGTTAATAAAACTATCTGTATATCTCCAGTATGTGTGTGCCTTTATCCCACAGCATTATGACCACCCGTGCAACACTAAATTAAAAACACTGATGGCAATATCTGCATATTTGGATATTTTTAGGCAGCTATGCTGATATTACTCATTACTATAATCATTATTTTGATTTTACTGCTGCACTAGGTGGTCATAACGGTGTGTTCTATACTGCTATCTGTGCTTCATTACAGAGATTTCCCCTTACTTCTTGTTATGCTGACCATAGTTTCACTTGATATCATGGCTAACTGCTGCTGTTTACTATATTACCATAGCCATAGGTCCTGAGGAAGTTTGTTGGTAATTTGCCACTTTTATTAAAGTGGAACTTTAGTCAGAAAATTAAGTCCTGCTGGGTCACTTCAGGCTGGCCATTTAGGCATGTAAAATTAAAACATTAAAAATAAGTGCATATACTGGTTAAATTCCAGTAATACATTGTCTCCCCCTGCTCCACTGCTCCAAAAATCAAAGCCACTAGAGGCTGATCTGTTGACAGCCTAAAGATTTACCATTGCTCAGGGGCTTTGGGCTATAGCAAAATGGCAGCCTCCAGTAAGAAGAAACAGGAGCAATGCTAGAGACAGTTTACAGCACACACTGACTTTGGTAGCATAATTAATAATGTGGAATGTACAGTATGTTCCATGCTAAAGAAAGTTATTTTTTTTATGAAGTGGTTTTGGGTAAAGTCCCGCTTTAAGCAGATTTCAGTTATTTCAATCACCGGACTCAGCTTCACATGTGGTCGGTCTGTTTGCAAATGCAGATTGCCTAGGAACTCCCACTCCTGCAGACTGACATCCACCCATCAAGGCATTTTGATATTATCATAATTCCTCACAACAACCAGCCCACTGCTTGCATCAGGCCCAAGCAATCTTGAAAGGAGTTCTGAGGCAGGATACTGTGTTTTCTAGAAAATATGTGCAGCATCCTGCCAGTCCCTCCCACCAGCCATGATCTGCCTGCATTTCATAGAGTACCACAGAACACCCAAAAATAGGGTATGTAATGAAAAATTAGAATGTTGATGAGGAAGAAAGGTAGGAAACAGGGATGCCAAAATATAAACAGATTGAACTTCAGCTTTAATAGGATTAGCTTCTAGTATCTAAATACACCTAATATAACTGGATACTAACATTTATAGATAAAATTGATCCAGGGAATATCCATATTGCCTCTCGGGTGATCAGGAAGGAATTTTTTTCCTCTGCAGGAGCAAATTGGATCATGCTTTGCTGGGTTTTTTGCCTCTTCTGGAACAGCTGTGGGTATAGGATTATAAAAATGTTTATTTTTTAATGGTTGAACTGGATGAATGTTTGTCTTTTTTAAGCCAGACTAACTATGTAACTATATGTCACTATGTAACTATGTATCTTAATATGAGCTGTACTAAAATATCACCTACACTCCCAAGGTTCATGTTTTACCAAAATTGCATTACAAAACTTTGTAGGTAGACAAGTAGGTGCCTAAAATTGTTAATAATATATTCTTTTTTGCATTGATGTCGCCTAAATTAGATTTTCTATATTTGTTGGAAGTTATAAAAACAACGTAAAAAGAGTATGATGTTTTTGTTTTTTTGTTTTTCTACAGCATTGGTGGAGACGTGGTAAGAGGAAGTGAAGGGAATTACGTCAATAAACACTTCCGCATGGGATTTATGACAATGCCTGCACCGCAAGATAGGCTACCACATCCATGTTCTAGTGGATTTTCTGTGCGCTCACAGTCCCTCCATTCTGTCGGTGGCACTGATGATGACAGCAGCAGTTGTTCTCGGAAACAACCTCCTCCAAAGCCAAAACGAGATCCAAACACAAAGCTAAGCATTTCGTCTGAGACTGTTAACACTGGAACACTAGGCAAGAGTCCAAAGTTCACAGACAGAACAGATGGTAAGTTATATGTCTCATATGTTCCCTTTCCAAAGAACAGGAGTAATGGAACGATCCTTTGTACATGTATATTTCAAGGGTTCCTAATGTGTTAAATAAAGATAAAGGGAATCTAATCCTTAAAATAAAAAATGTTATGGAGTATTATAGATAATGTTTATTTCTGACAAGAAGTCAGGGTTTTAACCTCAGAACCAGTTGATGTCATTTTTTTTATTCTTTAAGGTAAACCTGTTTATGAAAGGAATACATTTGCATGAATCATTAGGGTACATATTAGCATTGCCAAGTCCTATTTTTATTGTAAGTAAAGATTATATTTCCTGATATAATAAAATACTTCTGCTACCAAACAATCTAGTTTAGGCTAAATTCACACGGTTTCTTTCTTCAACGCAGATTATGGGTGTTTTATGGTCCCCCTGTTCCTGTTTTCTGCACAGCTGTGTCTCTTTCAGGTCAGATGTATACATCATTAGAAATAAGTGTACTGTTTAACTACTGGAAATGTTTGTATTGATTATAGTCGACCACAGCCTTTCTCAATCTTTTTACCCAGAAGGAACCCTTTGAAGTATTTTTCTGGTCTTTGGGAACACCTGCTAAAAATAATTTTACCTACAATTTGTGGTACATTAGCATGAGCAGTCAATTGTAGAGTGCTTTAAATATATGAATAAGTAGTATGGTATATCTAGCATATTTTACAACCAGCGCAGAATATTTTCTACATTCTTCTGTTCTGTACAACAAAATCCTTAGTAATTATCATAAAATTAAATGAATGATAATAGAAAAGAAAAATAGAAGGTAAAAATTATAGTGTCTCTTAACAGTAATGGTTAGTGTAGAAGTGCACCCTTGCATTGGTGGTCAGTGCGGATAGGAGATAAATTCACCATTGCTCATTGCTCAAGGAACCCCTAACAACCACAGGAAGAACCCTAGGGTTTCAAAGAATCCTAATTGAGAAAACGCTGGTCAACCAAATTATTATCGTGATTTTTATTTCAGATATTGCACATATTAACTAATAACATTTTTTTTTCCAGTTTCTAAAGCTCCTTTTAGGAACAGCAGTTGGTCATTTGACCGACAAAAGAGCTTTCATATATGCACACAATCTATTGGGTTACATGTTCACTCAACAATTGCTCCTGGCAGAGGAACAATAGCAGTCAGCTAGGAAAATTCTTCTCAAGTTTTTCAGCAGTGATTGGTCAGCAAGAAGGTATCTTCAGAAGCTGTAGACTTACAATTGCTTTCCAATTTGAAGCAGATTTCTATATATATCTAATATATATGGGCAGCATAGCTCCTGAAAACATGCAGTTTTTAGCTGTAAATGGCCAACAAGCACCAGTGCATTTTTTGCTGCTATAGCGTCTTTGATTTTAGCTGATGTTGACCATTGCAGACATCTCTAAGTTAATGATAATACAGGTGCATCTCAATAAATTAGATTATCAAAAAGTTAACTTATTTAAGTAATTCAATTAAAAAAGTGAAACTCATATATTACAGAGTGATATATTTCAAGCATTTCTTTCTTTTAATTTTGATGATTGTGGCTCACAGCTAGTGAAAACCCAATATTCAGTATCTAAAAAAAATAGAATATTACATAAGGTCAATAAAAAAAGTATTTTTAATACAGAAATGTTGTCTTACTGAAAAGTATGTCCATGTACAGTATAGTATGCATTCAATACTTGGTCAGGGCTTCTTGTGCATGAATTACTGCATCAGTGCAGCATGGCATGGAGGCGATCAGCCTGTGGCACTGCTGAGGTGTTATCAAAGGTTGCTTTGATAGTGGCCTTCAGCTTGTCTGCATTGTTGGGTCTGGTGTCTCTCATCATCTTATTGACAGTTTCCCTGTGAGGTTTATGCCAGGCGGGTTTGCTGGCCAATCAAGCACATTGATACCATGATCATTAAACCAGGTATTGGTACTTTTGGCAGTGTGGGCAGGTGCCAAGTCATGCTGGAAAATGAAATTAGAATCTCCATAAAGCTGCTCAGCAGAGGGAAGCATGAAGTGCTCTAGAATTTCCTGTACACGACTTTGGACTTGGTAAAACAGTGGGCCAACACCAGCAGATGACATGACTCCCCAAATCATCACTGACTGTGGAATCTTCACACTGGACCTCATGCAACTCTCCACTCTTCCTCCAGACTTTGACCTTGATTTCCAAATTAAATGCAAAATTTACTTTCATCCGTAAAGAGAACTTTGGACCACTGAGCAACAGTCCGGTCCTTTTTCTCCTTAGCCCAGGTAAAGATGCTTCTGATGTTGTCTTTGGTTTAGGAGTGGCTTGACACAAGGAATGTGACAGTTGCAGCCCATGGATAGTCCTGGTAGTCCAGAATATGTCTGTGTGTGGTGGCTCTTGAAGCACTGAAACTAGCCAAAGTCCACATCTTGTGAATCTCCCCCCAAATTCTTGAATGGCCTTTGCTTCACAGTCCTCTCAAGGCTGCGGTTATCCCTGTTGCTTGTACACCTTTTTCTATCACACTTTTTCCTTCCACTCAACTTTCCATTAATATGCTTGGATACAGCGCTCTATGAACAGCCAGCTTCTTTAGCAATGCCCTTTTGTGACTTACCCTCCTTGTGGACGGTGTCAGTGACTGTCTTCTGGACAACTGTCAAGTCAGCAGTCTTCCCCATGATTGTGTAACCTACTGAACCAATGGACTGCAGACATAGTACAGGAAATGACGGAGACTGCAGACATAGTACAGGAGGAGACCAAAGACTGCGGACACAGTACAGGAGATGACCAGAGACTGCGGACATAGTACAGGAGATGACCAGAGACTGCGGACACAGTACAGGAGATGACCAGAGACTGCAGACCTTTGGGTAGGGGGGGTGGGTACCCAAATTTGACAGGTACCCGCTCCCACTTCCTCGGAGTTGTCCCCCCCCTCCCCATAGTCTTCTTGGACATGTAACAGGTCCCACAAGACTACAGGGCTATTCACAAAGCGCAGCGCTTCTTGGGCATGTGAAGTGGGCACCCGGCTGTCAGGGCTCCGGGTATGACCAGAGGTGTGTGACTGACGCAGGGAAACGCAGGCTTCAGATATGTTATAAACAATGTAATTTATTAACACTAACCATACAAACATAAACGCAGTGTAATACTAAAACATAACACAGTGCAAACAAACCAAACCAACCACCCACAGATAACAGTACATACAATGCAAGCGTCGTCAGGCAGGCCGGGTCAATATCAGTCGGGCAGGTAGGTACAGGGGGAGCAAGCGGAGAATGGTCGGGGTCACAGGCCAGGTTCAGCAGGTAGCGGGCAGCGTAGTACAGAGGGTCAGGCAGAGGAGAATGGTCAGACAAGCCAGGGATCAGAGCAGGGTCAGTAGAGAATCAGACAGGAACAGAGAGCAGGAACAGGATACAGGGCCCAAGAGAAACACAACACCAAGGCCGAGTCTGCAGGTCTGAATGTCCCTTAAATACACCAGTATAATTAGTTCCAGGTGTTTGACTGGCTGCAAGGTTGAGTCTCTGATTGCTGGGAGCACCCGCTGGCCAGCCCTGGTACTGCAGCTCATAAGGCAGCTGAGTCCCACTATTGCTGGCCAGTCCATTCCTGACAGTACCCCCCCCCCTCAAGGAGCGGCCTCAGGATGCTCCAAACAGTCCTAGCTGGGCAAAATGTTCCACTGCCCGGGTCTGGTAGCTGGCGGGATATCAAAGACTGGCACACCGGGCAGGACTTCGGGCAGCGGCACACCGGGCGGAGGGCACATCTTGCAGGACTCCGGGCAGAGGCACATCGGGCTGGACTCCGGGCAGAGGCACATCGGGCTGGACTCCGGGCAGAGGCACATCGGGCTGGACTCCAGGCAGAGGCACATCGGGCTGGACTCCGGGCAGAGGCACATCGGGCAGAGGCACACCGGGCAGAGGCACACCAGGCTGGACTCCGGGCAGAGGCACATTGGGCAGGACTCCGGGCAGAGGCACATCGGGCTGGACTCCGGGCAGAGGCACACCGGGCAGAGGCACACCACCGGGCAGAGGCACATGGGCTGGACTCCGGGCAGAGGCACATCGGGCAGGACTCCGGGCAGAGGCACATCGGGCAGGACTCCGGGCAGAGGCACATCGGGCTGGACTTCGGGCAGAGGCACATCGGGCTGGACTCCGGGCAGAGGCACATCGGGCTGGACTCCGGGCAGAGGCACATCGGGCAGGACTCCGGGCAGAGGCACATCGGGCAGGACTCCGGGCAGAGGCACATCGGGCAGGACTCCGGGCAGAGGCACATCGGGCCGGACTCCGGGCAGAGGCACATCGGATTACCAGGCGGAGCAGCAGGCAGCGGGCCACCAGGCGGAGCAGCAGGCACCGGGCCCCCAGGCGGAGCAGCAGGCACCGGACCCCCAGGCGGAGCAGCAGCAGCGGGCCAGCGGGCCAGCCAGGCGGGGAGCAGCAGGCAGCGGGCCCCCGGGCGGAGCAGCAGGCAGCGGGCCCCCGGGCGGAGCAGCAGGCAGCGGGCCCCCGGGCGGAGCAGCAGGCACCGGGCCCCGGGCGGGCAGCAGCAGCCGGGTGGCAGGCCGGGCCCCCGGGCGGAGCAGCAGGCACTGGGCCACCGGGCGGAGCAGCAGGCAGCGGGCCCCCGGGCGGAGCAGCAGGCAGCGGGCCCCTGGGGCGGAGCAGCAGGCACCGGGCCACTGGGCGGAGCAGCAGGCAGCGGGCCCCCAGGGCAGAGCAGCAGGCAGCAGCGGGCCCCAGGGCGACCAGCATCGGGCCCCCAGGCGGGGCGACTGGCATCGGGCCCCCAGGCGGAGTGGCGGGCGCCGGGCCCCCAGGAGGGGCGACAGGCATCGGGCCCCGCAGGCGGGGCGACAGGCATCGGGCCCCCAGGCGGGGCAACAGGCATCGGGCCCCCAGGCGGGGCATCGGGCCCCCAGGCGGGGCGACAGGCATCGGGCCCCCAGGCGGAGCGGCGGGCGCCGGACCCCCAGGCGGAGCGACAGGTCTCGGGCCCTCAGGCGGAACGGCGGGCGCCGGACCCCCAGTTGGAGCGACAGGTCTCGGGCCCTCAGGCGGAGCGACAGGTCTCGGGCCCCCAGGCGAAGCGGCGGGCACCGAGTCACCAGGCACGACAGTGGGCTCCGAGTCAACTGGCATGACCGCTGGGCACTGGGTCAGACATTGGATCGTCTGGCTGGACAGCGGGCATCAGGTCACCAGGCATCAGGTCATTTGGCTCGACAGCGGGCACCGCGTCATCTGGCAAGGCAGTGGGCTCCGAGTCAACTGGTATGACCGCGGGCACTGGGTCAGACATTGGATCGTCTGACTGGACAGCGGGCATCGGGTCACCAGGCATCAAGTCATTTGGCTCGACAGCGAGCACCGCGTCATCTGGCAAGGCAGTGGGCTCCGAGTCAACTGGCATGACCGCGGGCACTGGGGCAGTTGGCACGACAGCAGGCACCGGGTCATCAGGTACCGGATTGTCTGGCTCGACAGCGGGCATCGGGTCACCAGGTATGACAGCGGGCACTGGGTCACCAGGCATCAGGTCATTTGGCTTGCCAGCGGGCACCGCGTCATCTGGCAAGGCAGTGGGCACCGGGTCACCAGGCATTGGATCGTCTGGCTCGACAGCGGGCACTGGGTCACCAGGCATCAGGTCATTTGGCTTGCCAGCGGGCACCGCGTCATCTGGCAAGGCAGTGGGCACCGGGTCACCAGGCATTGGATCGTCTGGCTCGACAGCGGGCATCGGGTCACCAGGTATGACAGCGGGCACTGGGTCACCAGGCATCAGGTCATTTGGCTCGCCAGCGGGCACCGCGTCATCTGGCAAGGCAGTGGGCACCGAGTCACCAGGTACGACAGCGGGCTCTGAGTCAATTGGCACGACAGCGGGCACCGGATCAGGTACCGGATCATCTGGATCAACAGCGGCATCGAGTCAACTGGCCTAAAGGATCGTCAGGCTGGATCAGTTCATCATGCTGGGTAGAGGCATCAGGCTGAATGCCGGCGTCCGGCTGAGTAGAGGCTTCAGGCCGAGTAGAGGCTTCAGGCCGAGTAGAGGCATAGAGGCAGGCCGAGTAGAGGCTTCAGGCCGAGTAGAGGCTTCAGGCCGAGTAAAGGCATCAGGCCGAATAGAGGCATTAGGCTGAGTAGAGGCTTCAGGCCGAGTAGAGGCATCAGGCCGAATAGAGGCTTCAGGCCGAGTAGAGGCTTCAGGCCGAGTAGAGGCTTCAGGCTGAAGAGAGGCATCAGGCTGCGTACAGGCATCAGGCCGAGTAGAGGCATCAGGCTGCGTACAGGCATCAGGCTGAGTACAGGCATCAGGCTGAGTAGAGGATTCAGGCTGAGTAGAGGCTTCAGGCTGAACCACGGAAGGCAGGTTCACCGGTTTGGATACTGGCAGGATGGTATTGGTTGGAAAGAATTTTCGCTTTTTTCTGGTTTTAACTACTGGAGCACTGCAAGTAAACGCAGGTCTGCAAACGAATGGAGCAGCTGGAGACAGAGAAGAGCTGGAGGATGGAACAGGAGAGGGAGCAGTTGCTACAGAGGGCTTTTTTACAGGGTTAAAGGCAGGATAGGTGCAGCGAGTGGGAACAGGGTATTGACATGCGGTAGATAGCAGGGCAGGAGGAGCTGTTGGGAATGCAGGAATAGAGTTTTGAGGAAATAGATTAGAAGCAGGACTGGGTTTTTGTAAGCTGACTGACTGAGCTGGGTGCAACAAGTCTGTCCATGTCTGCAGTATGGGTTGAACAAAGCTGAGCTTACACAAAGCCTGTCTGACCAAAGACTGCACTGCGTTTATACAATCTCTTAGTGTCTGTGGTGAACATGTGGAATATCGCTCCAGAAAGTAACCCACATCATCCTCTAATAACCACACCAGGGACTCTACCTGGTCTGCACTAAATGGTGGCAAAAATTCATCCCTGCATTCGGGGGTACCAGATGAAACCAACTCAGCACAAACCTCAATCAATGGCTGCACCTCAGAGAACTCTGTGCCCTGATCTACTAGAACATGAGCGAGCCGTATACATTCTAGCAGTTCATCCCGGGGATACTCCTTCAGAGTTTGATAAGCATACTCTCTGTCATCAAACACTAGCAGATATAAATACACAACCTCATCAAGATCCATCCTTCCCATCAACAAGCCAAGATGACTTCCCTGTGCAGCCACTTCTGGTCAGGATTGGCCTTGGTGTAATGTCAGGGCTCCCGGGTATGACCAGAGGTGTGTGACTGACGCAGGGAAACGCAGGCTTCAGATATGTTATAAACAATGTAATTTATTAACACTAACCATACAAACATAAACGCAGTGCAATACTAAAACATAACACAGTGCAAACAAACCAAACCAACCACCCACAGATAACAGTACATACAATGCAAGCGTCGTCAGGCAGGCCGGGTCAATATCAGTCGGGCAGGTAGGTACAGGGGGAGCAAGCGGAGAATGGTCGGGGTCACAGGCCAGGTTCAGCAGGTAGCGGGCAGCGTGGTACAGAGGGTCAGGCAGAGGAGAATGGTCAGACAAGCCAGGGATCAGAGCAGGGTCAGCAGAGAATCAGACAGGAACAGGAACAGGAAACAGGGCCCAGGAGAAACACAACACCAAGGCAGAGTCTGCAGGTCTGAATGTCCCTTAAATACACCAGTATAATTAGTTCCAGGTGTTTGACTGGCTGCAAGGTTGAGTCTCTGATTGCTGGGAGCACCCGCTGGCCAGCCCTGGTACTGCAGCTCATAAGCAGCGAATAAAAACAAGCATGTAAGTCCTCAAGGGGGGATTTTAGAGGCAAGATGCCAATGCGAATCCCGTCATGGAGGAAGCCACTCAGTACAGCTGACGCGTTTCGAAGGACGCTCAGCTCTGAGGAAGAAGGCACGTCCTTCGAAACGCGTCAGCTGTACTGAGTGGCTTCCTCCATGACGGGATTCGCATTGGCATCTTGCCTCTAAAGTCCCCTTGAGGACTTACATGCTTGTTTTTATTCGCTGTTTGTGAGTACCATTCTTTTATTCAATAAATTTTGGTTACTGAGGTAATGCGCAAGGTTGGTGCGCTTCTCTTTTGTTGTTCTCCTTCACAGTTTTGTTTGGGCTTCCCCAGCCTTGATGTGGAGCTGCACGACCTTGTCTATTCCGGTGGTCCCTTCCTTTTTGGAGTTTGATTCCATCTACTTACCACCGGCCTGGGTCCCGGAGCGCAGGAGATATTGCATTTGGTTCACTGCAGCTCATAAGGCAGCTGAGTCCCACTATTGCTGGCCAGTCCATTCCTGACACCGGCTGTGAAGAGTAGAGCTAACACGGCAGCGGCGAAGGGGGGGGAATACTGGGTTGGCCACTCCATATTTGCTCCATAAGACGCACAGACATTTTCCCCCATTTTTTGGGAGGAAAAAGTGCATTTTATAGAGTGAAAAATACAGTAAAAGAAAGAAATGCTTGACATATATTACTCTTTGAGTAATTGATCTATATCATACAAATAAATATTTAATATTTAATTTACCCAAAAGTTGGAGTAATAAAATTTACATTCTGCCTGCAATTTGTGGAGAGGAATCCATTACTTGCTCTAGCTGGCAAACGAGCTGGTAAAAGTGATCTAAGCACCCTGTTACAGTATCCTCCCTAAAGAAGAAGTCTGTACTCAAGGGAAAAAAAGGCTTCCTTCCCCAGTTGACTTCCAGTCATCTGCGTTATCCAATATAGGTTCTGATTTAAGGCCCTTTATTATGATTGAAGTGCCCAAATGAGGACATGAGATGCTATTTGATTGCAAGTGCCTTTCCCTAATAATGACATTTGGTATATAACCTTTTAATCATTAAATGTTCGTGGTTGTCAAAGAAAGGGGGAGAGCTGCCACTCTGCCAGTGTCAGAAGTAAACTAGACACTTCCTGGCATGACCTTTGTAGGTTGTTGTATATAACTGGTAATAACTGTGGATAGCTTTGTTCAGAGCCTTCCTCATACAACAATGGTGTCACTGCATTGATGTTTGTAGCGTCAATTTTTTTTCTGATGTTTGAGCTCCCTTTCAGATCTGGTATTTTTATCTGTCTTCTGATATTCCTACACACATAACTTTATTTTGCACCAAGTAAACAAAGGCATGTGGTTTTCAAAAAAGAACACAACTTGGCAGCCTTGTTTCCCCAGGTCTATATATGAACTATGACCTGATCTTTTTTCTGGGACACAGTTAATTAACTTTTCACACCATTGTAGTGTTTCACCCATGTTTGGTGTTTACTTCCCACTTTTAATCTGGGCAAGATTAGTAACATGACCTGTGGTTGCCATGCTTAATGCATTTACCAATTTATGAGAAGCTGATTTAGTGATTCTATGCCATCAAGTGGTGTATCTATGTAGTCATGAATAACAGTGTATAAATGTCTTCCACTTTCCCTTGCCTTTGAGAGCAAATGCTTCATAGCTTGTTCAGAACAGTTCTCTATATCTGTCAGTTTGACTGTGCATTGTTAGAACTGAACATTGCATGCTGAAAATCATAGGCTTTAGTAAATGTTTTTGATTCTGCTGAAGTAAACTGAAGTCCACTATCAAATGCAAACTGGAAAGGCAGCCTAGAAAGAAATTGGTGTCTCTTTTCAGTGATAGCTGATAACAAGGTGTTTTTTTTTACTTCTCAACTTCCATGTGCATTTAGTGTTTTTGCTTTATCATTCTGTTCCCTTAGACCTGGGAACCACAAACTAGATATTTGGTGTTAAAATTTGCCATTTTTTTGTAAGCCTAAAATGATACTTTGTGGCGAAGCTATGCTTTAAGGGTTTGCACCAAAATTCTTTAATGAATATATTAATCAATATCAGTCTGTCTTATAGATGTATCACAAGCTGTTTAGTTAGTTTGCTAACACTTTGTACACTATATTTAATTTGTACCGGCAGCCATTGGGTTTACTTTTAAGTTTACATAATTGTTTCATATTTTTTGTAATAAGAGTAGAGTTTCTTATTGTATGCATATTGTTAATGCTTTTGCCTTCTTCTTCGACTCCCAAAATACCAAATAGCAACAACCTTTTCCAAGATTAGACACACAAGACACAACAGAAACATGTCTACAGTGACAGAAACACAGACTGGAGAGGGTTTGATAATAACTTTTGCAATGCCTCCTACCAGGACAGGGCCTCTGTGAGCAGAGGGGTTCCCTTCCTGAGAAATTAGAAAAAAAAAATATTATATAGTAAGTACATATATATCTACTTTGTAGCTTGAAGAAGAGTGAGGTTCAAACTGTTGCTAATCTGTAACACAAGATATTTGCATAAAAATAAAAATATTAAAAGATAAGTATTAGTACATACAGTACATCCAATATACAAACATAAAACATAAAACAGCAAATGGTCCCGAGACGCATCTTAGTGGAATTGCGAACATATACTGAGGTATATATATACAGTCATTTAGCAAAGATACCTCCAGATGAATGTGGCAAGATCCAGTTGCAAGAGCCGCAGGGGAAGATCACAGCTCTGATTCAGAAGAGCTCAATATAGAGTCAGCAGTGATGCAGATATCCAACAACCAACACTTGACCAGCCTGAGAAGCAGTTTCTTACCAAATACATCAGTTGTGTGACAGTGAAAAACTATCTACTCTGCTTCTCAGTTTCTAACAGTTTCTAATCTGTCATACAGCTGGACCTTTAGCTACCTATGGGCTGTCACATGCGTAACCTGGTTTTACCCTTTGTTGTCTATTGAGCCCTGAGCTAAAGTTACCTAGATAACTTCAGACCAGAAGTAAGAGGACCTGTATATAAACTTTATTTTAAAAAAGAGGTTCACCTATTGATATGAAACAGGGTGACCACTACACACATACAGTAGTACAGAGCTAGCTGTGTGGTGCTATGAGTGTGAAATAAGAACAATAAGAGAC